CTTGAGAAGAAATTCTCTGCACATGCATTTTAGTTTCACAGTATTTTTATAGTTTTAAAACTGAGGCTTCACATTTCTGAACACACTCAAACACAGAGAGAGTAGTAAATTATACGAGCGCAACAGCCGTAAATGTTCGATTTGCTCGTCGAAAAGCCTCAGTCGATTCACAATGTTACATATATTTTCGCAGTTTATTTCCCACCATAACTCCTAATTTTAAAATGTCTGGAATTAATATCCTAGAGGCAGCAGCAGCGAGGATGATACCCGCAAGCCCGGGGGGTAGAGTGGAGAGTCTCGTTAGCGACGCGCAGTGACGGGTGCGCCGCGCCAAAATGAACGGCCAATCCAGTGAATTTACAAGCGCGGGCGCCACGGGCCGCGGTGCGGGCGGGAGCGGGCGGCGCAGAGCGAAGAGGAGCATAACAGATTGGAGGGAATCTAAATCCCTCCGGTTGCCGCGCCTTCAATTATGGATGCAAGATGTATAAACACGACACCGCCGGGCCAACGGCGCCGGCACCGCACCGGAGAACGCCCCCCCCCCCTTTATTTTCGTCTTTTATTCTTGTTCTTCTCTCTCTCTCTCTCTCTCTCTCTCTCTCTCTCTTTCTCCCTCGCTCTCTCTCGCCCTCTCTCTCTCACACACTCTTTCTCCAGGCAGAGAGTTACTTTAGGCGGGCGCTGCTTAATTTCAACGTCGGACTGTGAGTTCATGCGGGTGGCGGGCGTTGCGGTTGGCGGGCCCGAGGCGGGGCGGGGCGGGGCCAGGCACGGACCAGAGCGCGGCGTAGCGAGGGCGTGGCGTGCAGCAGGGCGCGTTCCGAATTATTTAGTAAGTCTACCGCCGCCAGCAGAGCGCCGCGCCTAAACGCCTACTGCTATTCATGTGCCTGCTGCTGAGAAAGAATAGAGAATACACGACGTTACGCTGGTGGAACCTATGGCGGGTTTCGATCCTATTGCGAAGGATTTGGCTGCGTTCGTTGCTCGAAAGATTTCATCGCGTTACGAAACGGAAATCGTACGCAATTTGTTTTGTAATTACAGTGCACCTCAGTGTTTTCTTTTGGTCACCTTTTACAACCCAAACCCAGACAACTATCTCTCCGCATAGACAGAAAAAAAATGATGGTCACATTGTCACAATATACATTTGAAACAAAAAGGCACTAAGAACAACAGAAACAGTTATTTTTTTTCTTCTGGGTGAATAACTCACACCGCCAGACTCACTCACTCACTGGAATAACCTTGATCAAACTTGGGTGAACCAAGCTGAATTCCTGGAGTTCGCGTCGCGTTCCAATTTGAGTCCGCCTCTTTTGACAGTTTGCCGAAGGAAACCTTAAATCGAGTCTTTCTTCCTCAGAGCACGCCAAGAAATATGATTGATTGTCTCGTTATTTAAAGCCATTCCAGTCGAGGAAACGTCCTTGTGCTGTGTGATGGTGACGGGCGGGCGGGCCGGCGCGCAGCGAGCCTACTGCTCCCTGGACGTAATATTTTCTCTTTATCCCCAAATCCCCGAAGCGCAGATGGCTGGAAAGAGGAGAGGGTTGGTTTGGTCGAGGCGAGATGGCAAGCGGAGTGGAGTCGGCGACGGGACAGGGTACAAAAGCGTGGGGGACGGTATAAATTAACAGTTAGTATTCGGACGCCCTTCCACCACACTGACGCAGGCACAAGTGGTTCTGCTCCCGAATGGCAATATAAAAAACCCTCCTATAGATCGACTAAACCGCGCTAAAACGCCTGAAAGATGTAGAGTTTTACTCCTACCTTTGCGGTCAAGTAATGATTCACTTTTTAATTACGCTACAGTTAACACGTTGAGTCCCATGGGGGTGCTAATTACGGGTTAATGTGACCATACGTGTGGTCACGTGGGGCTCAACGTGTTAAACACCTGCCCAGCATTTGTTTTTCAAAATAAGTGTGTTTTATCCCTCTCGCAAGTTTTTGGAAACGGCTTGAAAACCGTGCCACAAGCCAAGGTGGACGGACGACCACACCAAGCAGGTCTGCGATATCCGAAGAGGTTTTCTTGCCGAAGAGCGCGGCGGGCACAAGTAACGGAGAGAAGTGAAGCACACAAGGCCGGCGCTGAGACGAGATAAATCATTTGCAGTGATGTGCTCTTACGTGCCATTTTCCGCAGAGTACAAAAAGTATGGGTGAGGGAAGAGGGGGTGGAGACACGGCCCTTCATCTCTCTTTGACGTCAATTTAGTAGACTCCGGAGACTTTCGGGGAGTCCAGGAGGAAACACGCGGCGGGTTGGGAGGGAATAAGGAAAGAGAGACAGAAGGAGGGACGAGCTAACCACCACAGGACAGGACGGTAGGGGATGGAAAAGAAATCATCTACAAGCTTTCTAACCGTGCGCCACTTTCTTGCATTCCTAATTTTCACATCCTTCCGGCGTTACTATCGATACTGCAGACAGTGTACCACGCGACGAGGCACTTCTACAACTCGGCGGCGGGCCAAAGTGCGCTCCGCCAAATCAGTTTCACTTCGGGTTGGTTACAGAGAGAGGGTGGATGGCGAGAGCGAGCAAACGAGAGAGAGAGGGACAGAGCGAGAGAGAAGGAATACGGGAGGAAGACAAGGAGGCTCCGCCGCCAGTCAAGTACCTCCTCTAAGTGACGTGAGAGCTGGAGCCTGGAGCTCATAGGCTGGAGCCGGCTGGAGCTGGAAGTGACTGCGTGTTGCGACACGTGAGAGGGAGCGAGTGGAGGGAGAGAGAGGGAGAAAAAGAAAGAGAGAGAGACAGAGCACACGCGCTTTACGAGCGGGGAGCGGGGCTGAGCGGGGATATAGCTAAGAGAAAATATCACACATCCACTATGCCGCACACACTTTGTCCCTCGCTCTGCAACAAGCAACCGGGAGGTAAAGGGCAGGGGTCGCACAAGCGTTGCAAATGCGACACAGTGCGGCCGTTTGGCGCGCTGGCCCATGCAGCCCGTCGCAGGTACCCGTGCCCGGGGTAACCCCACCGGCTGACCTTTGCCAAAGGGCTGGCGGGCTGAACCGCACTGGCGCACTGATGATGGGGAGAGTTCCGGAATCCGCGGCTTGTTGCAGTCGCGCCACGCGCCCGCGAGTTCCACGTACCACAAAACCGCGTTGTCTGTTTTTATCTCTTTCTTTCTTCCTCTCTCTCTCTCTCTCTCTCTCTCTCTCTCTCTCTCTCTCTCTATCTCTTTCTCTCTCTCTCTCTCTCTCTCTCCCCGCTTCATCCCAGCTCCAATCCACGCATCGGTGGTGCGCGAAATAGTGGAATAGCGCGGCTGTAAAACAAAATACTGCCCAGCCGGCCAGTTTATGGAGGCGATACGAGCGCGCGTACGACGAACGGAGAGCCGAGAGAGAGGGAAGAGCGTAGGAGAGCAGAGAGAGAGAGAGAGAGAGAGAGAGAGAGAGAGAGAGAGAGAGGGTGAGTTCGCGAGGGAGCAGGAGAGGGGGTGGAAGGGGCGGAGATGAGAAACATCTTGCGACATTATGCGCGTGTTGTCCCGGGGGCGGTGACTAAGAACGGAGTTGGGTTGGGTAGGCGTGGCGCACTGGAGCGCGGCGCGGGGGGCGGGGTGGGGCGGGGCGACTTGTGGCCGAGAAATTGTCAAAAGACGTCAGAAACGCGTACTACCGATTGAAGGAGAGAGGAGCAGCCGCAGGTGGGGCGAATGGATGATTGGGAGAAAGAGAGGCAGAGACACCCGACGAAGCAGACCAAAGTCAGAGAGAGAGAGAGAGAGAGAGAGAGAGAGAGACGGGGGGCTGAAGGAGAGGCCGAGACACAAGAAGGGTCACACGACACACCACAGGAGAGGAGAAAGGAATTGCGATTGGAGGGAGTGGGGGATGGGGGGGGGGGCGTGCGGCCGGAGAGACGAGTCCCTTTACGACGCCATTCAGCCGACAGCGTCCCCAGCGCATGGGGAGGAGGGGAGGGGGGAAGGGGTGTGCATCGTAACACTATGGCCAAGCCATCTCCGTCGAACGCTTATGAATAAAAAGTACCCCCGCACGGCACCCTCGCACCATACGTACACGCTCGCGACAAGTATTTGAGACCATTTGGTATGGGAGCCTCGCGTCGCGACCGTACCGTCCGCGACGACTGCTGACCAGTCCACGCTGAGAAAAGCGTTTTGTCCTAACAACCAAAAAAGGGTTAAATGAATCAATGGAAAATTTACTCCCTCAAGCCAACTTAACATTAGATCAAGAATTCTAAACAAAATATGAGCAGGTCGATCACACCTTTATCAACATGACTAAATCACGTGATCAGGGGGATCAAACGCAAGTAAAATTCTCTTGCCTTCCGTTTTCGTTGCGCCGATCAAACGGTTTTCTGAGTGCAGCGTTGATCGTAGACGTGAACACCGGCGACAGGCGCCTGCCCGCCGAGGCGTACGCAGAAAGGGGGCCGTCGTCAGGGGGTCCAGCAGCGACACGACACGAGCCCAGCCATTTAGTGAGATAATATTGACACGGTTACCGTCCGGCAGCGGCCCGTCCGGCCCCGCCCTAGGCTCATCTCATTAAGTTGGGACGGGCTGCCCAACCCGCCGCGGCGAGCTCGCTCGCCTTCCGACACGGCTCGGGTCACCTGCTGTACTGCCCACCCCGCCCCGCCCCACCCCGCCCCACTCACCACGCCCCACCCCTTTAGCCCAATTAGTGGCCGAGCCAAAGAGACGCGAATGTGATACGGGGGGTCGGTACTCGAAGCCAGACTCAGTCACAAAAGTACGCACAGAAAAAAAAGATTTGCTATATAGCTCAACCATAAATAAGAGATAACTAGTTATTTAGCTTTGAAGCTAAAAACGTAGCTATGTTGCGAAACAATAGCTGTCTAGCTAATAGCTAAAAATGTACTGTGTGCATATTCCTAATTATTGAGGTGTTCCTCACTTAAATACTGGTTTATAGCTTAACAGCCGTGACCTTTTTTCGTGTAAACGCGCCGTCACACTTACCTTATTATTTTTGGCGTAGTAGAGTTTGGTCCCCTGGAGCTTGAAGTAACGCCGGCGCCATCGGCTAAAGGAGGAGGTCTGCTTCATCAGGTACCCCTCCTTCGTCAGCGCCTGAAAAAAAAAAAACAAGAGGCGGGGAAATGAAGCAAATTAAATGCGGAAAACTTCGAAAGGTTACCTCTGTTCTTATCTTTCCTCAATATACAATCAATCCGAGCGGAAATAAAGTGAATAATCGCGGGACTAAACGACCTTAATATTTTTCTTCCTCATCCCGATAATTTTCCAGCGCACATTCCGCGTCTTTCCGCTCTTCATCAGTTCCGGCCTTCTCTCGGACCGAGGCTAGCGGCCACATCATCCCTGAGGGAGAGGGGGTGCACCACATCGACGTCACCGTGGACGTCATCCAGCCAGAGAGGGAGGTCGGATTGGGGGGGAGGGGGGACGGAGAGTGAGAGAGACGGGAGAACAGTAACGCTGTAACAACAGCGTGTACACGCCGTGATACACGGGCACGCACTTAGGGTCGCGTTAGCACAGTGTGTGTTCGTGCGCGGCTCTCACTGTCGTGTCCCCCCCGGTCCCCCGCGGGCACGCCCGGGGTCACCCCGAGCACACCACATCACCAAATTCGTACCATCACAATTTTTACCAGATCAAAATACTTTACAGCACTGATTGTAAATAAATAACATCAAGAGGTGTCAGCTCAAGCATTAACTCTCAAAAGTCTAGAACTTTGTTCCAAACTACAGAGATATCTCGTACCATCTGCTTCCTGCTGCCTCAATCCTTTGGACGGCATTTGTTTCAATTATTTCTGCGGGTGCCCAAAGTAAAGCCTTATTTTATAATTATCTTGTGTGCGCACACATCTTCTGTCAATGTTTGCCTCGGTTCTGATTGTGGCTATGCCCGGCTCTGCCCGGCTATGCCGGTGCGTCTGTTTGGCATTGGCCGTCGCATGCAGACCAGAGCCAATCCCATTACCCGATGGCGAGGCACAAAAGCTCTGCGGCTGCGGCGAGCCAACTCGCGAGAGAGCGAGAGAGAGAGAGCGAGAGAGAGAGAGAGAGCGAGAGAGAGAGAGAGAGAGAGAGAGAGAGAGAGAGGAGGAAACGAGGAGAGGGACGGAGAGAGGAGAGGAGGAGAGAGTCTGTTAATGTTTGTATCGGTAAAATGGACACCGTACCGTTGACCCGCATAACGCTATGCGCATCAGGCATTCCGCGCCAATTCATCGGCTGCAAAAGGTCGTTCAATAACGACTGAAACAACAATGACTCTTCTAGAGGGGCTCGGCGCTGCGCTGAGCGCCAGTTGCATGATTGGAACCGTTTCGATTTCGCTTCCCGCTCTGAAAACTAAACAATGCGCATTGCTGCACATTGTATACGCATTATTCGGCGGACATACTCAGTGATGAGGGTGCGTAGCAAACTGATAAGAAGAAAAAAAAGTAAAATGAATGAAATTGCCCGTGTCTTTGAGAAAATAGCTATGAAACAAGCTGGTGTGTGATGCGGAGTGCACTGGAAAAACAAAGGTGTGAATCCCTATCTTTAAAAGGCACTAACAAAGTTTAGTGCCTTTCCAAAGACAGTAAAGTTTAGTGCCTTTCCAAAGGCACTAAATGTGACCTTCCACACCTTTCATCTTCATATGAGTTCCATACAAGTTTAGTCTTTGGAAAGGCACGAAACTTTAGTGCCCCAGGAAAGGCACTAAACTGCGCCCTTGACTTTATAGTGCCCAGGAAAAGGTGTTGTTTGTTTAGTGCCTTTGTTTTTCCAGTGTGTCGTTATAGTTTCAGGGCTTGTTTAGAAATTTCCAAAAATGGTTTAATTATTAGTGTTCATGCGGTACGGAATCGTATTTGCTCGCCTGGCTCTGGTTTTCGAGTAATAATTGCCCACGGTAAAAACGAAGTCCCATTTTTTGAGGGAAAAGGGAAAACTTTGAGGGAGTCAGTAACTTTGAGGGATCTTTCTTGAAAAATAAGAACGACCCTCAAAGTAAGACAAATTTTGAGGAAGTCCCTCAAAGTTAGCGTGGCTGCTGCTGCACCCACCTCGCTACTTTAGAGCTTTGTAACAACTGATCAAATTGTCAGTTGGCCAAATTTAATGTTTTTCTCTTAGTTTTAGAGCTGCGGAACTCGTCCTACAAAGTTTGATGTGTGTGCGATGAGAAAAAACGAAACAGAGTTTTTGAATGGCTTACGTGCTTTCAGACGTACTTGCACACGTAAATCATTCAAAAAATCAGTTTCGCTTCTTCTCATTGTACACGCATCAAACTTTTCAGGACGAGTTCCACAGCTCTAAAACTAAGAGAAACACATTAAATTTGGCCAACTGACAATTTGATCAGTTTTTACAAAGCTCTAAAGTAGCGAGGTGGGTGCAGCAGCAGCCACGCTAACTTTGAGGGACTTCCTCAAAATTTGTCTTACTTTGAGGGTCGTTCTTATTTTTCAAGAAAGATCCCTCAAAGTTACTGACTCCCTCAAAGTTTTCCTTTTTCCCTCAAAAAATGGGACTTCGTTTTTACCGTGCGTTTAGCGGAGCCAGTGTTTGAGTGAGTGCGAGGGGGACGCCACACGCCGCTGCCTGCCGCCCGCATGGCACAGCCGGCGCTGCCGCCCGGCCTGCATTGGAAACTCTCATTATTCCGAAATTGACGTAATGCCGGAGATTACGCTCCAACCACGCCTCTTTTTCTCTCTCTCGCTCCAACCCTCACCTTCTATCTCCCTCCCTCTCTCTCGACGCCTCTACATGTTTCCTTTCGCCGTCCCCTCCGCGTCGCGGTCCAGGGGCGGGATTACCTCCCGGTCCCAGGCTAACGCCACGTGCGCTGCGGGCGGCGAGGGACCACTAGGGGCAGCGCCAGCCGAGCCCAGCCGCCCGTCTATCTATTATTGACATTTCACTCTCGCATATTTTTATTTTTCCGCGATCGTCCGGAATAATACATTCATGTATTTTAATCTGGCGCGCCCTCGGGCGGCCCTCTCTCTCTGCTCTATGGGATGTCACTCGCACCTGGACGTGACACCGCGTGCTCCGACCGCTCCCTTTTGTAATGGCAGGTTTACAATTGGAATTTGCAATATTTTATGTTATGAGTTCATAACCCACAACATCATTAAAAATTCCCCGTAACCCACGAATATGTATCAGAGTATGGTGTGCTCCTTCCGTCTTCCAACCACCTCCACCTCCCACGATGACCTTTCAAATCAATAGTAGTTCCCGATCTCATTCCCGATCGTCACCGAATGACTGGGCCTAGCACAAGGCCTAGCATCTTTATTTTAGGGATCAGATGCATACCCTTGATTCAGAAAGGTGACCTAGCTGGAATTATTTCCGATTTGGTGTTAATAGAGAGCCACGAAAAACTCAGAAAGCCTCATAACGCATTTACGTGTAGTTGGTTTGTTCCCCTATTTAGACAGAATAGTGCCACATAGTCGGTCCTTCACAGAGTCTGGTGAATGAAGTTTTACACACTTTCTGGCAGCTAAGTCCTTGCAAGTCTTCAACACAATAACTCCTAGTGTTCAACAAGAGTTATATGAGCTCTTATGGAAATGTTCAACAAGATAGTTGTTGAACAAATTCACACACGAGTATGTTTAACACAAGAACTCTGAACACTTGGAAATGCACATGCACAACTACAACTATATCTAGTTGGACATCCTGCAAGTGCTCAGTTGACAGTTGAACACTTGGTTTTTAATGCATACAAACATTTTTGCGAAGAAAATGTCAACGGGCCTATAGCGTGTTAATACAATACTCAACTCCTACTCTGACCATTTGTTTTTGGATTGGTGCCCCAGGTGCCCCAGGTGCCCTATTTTTCTTCCGTTTCGTTTTCCTGTGTTTGTTTGTAAAGGACCGCCCGCGTGTGTGGACCGCTGGGCGAGGGCTGCATCGGTCATTCACTCGGAGAGTACGTCCGTAGCGCCGTGTGGTACGCTGCAGCGTGGCGTGGCGGGGCGACGTTAAAAATAGCGCCCTAATGGAGCGGGCAGCTTCTCTCTCTCTCTCTCTCTCTCTCTCTCTCTCTCTCTCTCTCTCTCTCTCTCTCTGTGTGTATGTGTGTGTGTCTCCCCTTCTTCTCACGTGCAGCCTGGGACGTGTGGCGGCGGGGCGGCCGGACATGGCTATTAAGTGCCTTTGTTGCTGATCCAATAAGGTGCTGCTCACATAGCGGGGCGCGCACAGCGGGGGTAGACGCGGCACGGCGCGGCCCTCCTGACGCAGCGACACGGAGTTAAGGTAATAACGACGCAAAGATTAGAACCAGGAAAAACGGCAACAGAAGTTATTTCCCAACGCGCCTCGTCTACGAGAGCACTGGTCTCAAACCTTAAAAAAGGGCATTCACTGCGATCTTATTCGTAGTACTATCCTCGTATGCTAATAAAAAGCAAACAAAATACAGCAAATATGTAGGACTGACTAGGCGAAAATACGACCAAAAAAAACAGAACGCAATCATTTGTCATAGTTCTGTCGTTTTCTAAAAGTTATTTTGTCTGCAAAAGTGGCACTTTTACGATGTTAAGTAAAAAAAAATTAAAAATGGCAAAATCATATCTAAGACATATTAAAGACGAAGCAGGCCCCCGAACAGTTTGGAAAATTTGAAATTTAAACAGTGTGAAAGCAAAATTTTCCAAACTTTTCTGGAGTTTTATCATCACTTCTTAGAAACAAAATCATAAAACAGTTTCAAAACGTAGGTAGTGTGCTAAAAGATATGAACTAAATCGTACGATTTAATCATAATGGTTACAGTTTTTTGGTCATTACGATTCGTGCGCAGCGCTATTTTTGCACCGTCTACCATTTGCGCCCCAAGACGCACAGTAAAACCAGACGGGCAGTTCCGGGAGGCGGCAGCGTCAGCGAGGCGCTGCCCGGGACTGGGTTGATTAAATTTCACAACACTTTTAGTGGTTCAGAGCTGTAGCAAGACCAGCAGGCAGGCGAGATGGGAATATCAGGGGCAAAATGCTTCACGAGAAAAAGAGAGAGTGAGGAAAGGAGAGAGAGCCGGTGGGGGCGGGTAGAGAAGGAACGAGGGTGAGAATATAATACGTAGAGAAAAATCCGTCCAAGGCAGAGCGCAGGCCTCGCCCCGCGGCCTCGCCCGTGGCACCGAGCTGTGCGCGAAGAGGCAGGCGTTGTTGTGCAACAACCTGTGCCGCCTCCACCGCCTCCACCTGCCTGACGTCAAAGGCCAGGGTGAACCGATAACGATCTCGCCAGAGGGAAAATGGCCAATTACTATTACGCGACGACGTCCGTCTCTGTGTCTCCCTCTCTCCAGGCCGTCCATCTTTCCACGCAGTTCCTCCAGACCGCCCCTCCAGGCCGCCCCTTTAGCGTCATTCCGGCGGGCCGACCCTCCAGATCATCCGTCCCCCGCACTGTTAAGAAAAAAAACCTACAGGTAACGTCTACAACAGTGCGCCCTGTCAATTTGTCACTAGGCCCGCGACTGTAATTTTTGATTACAATCCACACCGTACAGGGTGTACTGAAACGACTGAAACTTCGCAAACCGCCTTTTTGGCTTGGCCAATACAGCACTTGACTTCGACAACTAAAGTACAGTCTATATCATAACAGTCTGGCCTGTAACTGGTGGTAACTATGTTAGCATTGCCGAAAATTTCGAAAGTAGCGGCCCATTTTGACTGTGGTTAATTTGAACCCTACGGAACACCATTACACCCAGAAAAGTGTTTCTTTGAAACAACATAAGGAATTTTTTTCCTTGAATCAAAGAAATTCCATTGTTTCAAAGTAAAATTGCCCTTAAAATAAAGAATTTTCCTTGAATTTAGGCATTTTTTTCCTTAAGCCAAAGAAAACATTTCGTTA